GTGTGCCAATGCGTTACTGAAATGACAAGCCTTGCCAAAACATCTGTGCGACAATGCAGGGGCAACGTTTCTTGCAAGTAGCAGTGTTCCATTACTTTGAGAGTGTTCTTTTTACTGTCTGACACTGAAATCTTATCAGAATACTAGAAACCAGATACCCTCAATATTTGAAAATACTTGTTGTTTATGAGGATACAGGTAATTAACACTTGATCATTGTACGAGTTGGCACGAGTTCTTAAATCTTCCTATCTTCAAATGATAAAACCATTATATTCGTATATTTATCCAGAGAGAAATACTTGGTGGGAAGATACAATATATTGGCCGACTAATAAACGTATTCTACTTATGTTTTATTTAACGGTGGGTGGTTTTATAATATATTGATATGCAGACTGTATTATTACTTGAAAATTCGCGGATTATTACTTATTATAAAATATATTCGAATGAATAAAGTTTTTGGTAAAGCTTCTTAGAGGAATATGGTTGCCATAACAGTTAATATAGCTTTCAATATCACTTCAACAAAAACTTCTATGCCTTGACAAAGCGGAAATGATTCGTATGTCGATTAAAACTGCATATACGAATTTAATACGGCCGGATTTCGATCAAAATGACTGTGCTGTAAAATAGGTACACTTACAAAGGTTACACGAGAGAGAAGGTTCAGCAAGCTACCTTTGTTAAAATACTACGCTTTCTCTAATAGGATTACAGGTTTGAATGGAAATATAATATTTGTGTATTAAAAAGATATAAATCATATTAATGTCACGAAATTTTATCATTCTTAAATCAAGTATTTGGTTTATATCTTGGTGCACAAACTGGTCACCTTTTTCTGACATATTCTCTGTAACAACTAGGTTACCAGATTGTTCTAACAAATATCACATTCTTTGACTGATTTCAGCGTAATAGGTGATTAGGTGATGCATAATGTAAACTTTGTCATGCATCTTTTACTGGACATAAGTATGATCCAAAAATAAAAAATGGCTTTGTTCATTATTTAGGACGTAAAACTCCATTCATTGCATTTCATTTTTGCTCTTCATTTGGGTTATTAAAGATGGACATAGCCACCGATCACTGGTGACTCAATTAAGGCGATTAGAATAAATCAAGTTGTTATATACGAGTTTTTGCATAGCCGTAGAGTTTAACATCGATGTTTGAGTTTACTATTATAATATTACGATGTTTTTTTTTAATTATTATTTTTATCAAAATGATCGACAACTATTTAAAAAGAAGGACATGCCTGTCAGTTTGCTACAAATAACGATAACATTCTTAAGTGGCTATTGAAGTGAGATATTCCTCATTTTATCAGAGTTTCTACTGAAATATATTGACACAGCTTTCTAAAAACGTTTTGGAATAGGATCTAATTATTTTACCATTTCAAACATGTATCTAGTGCCAATCAAAACACTCATTAAAATATTTCTGTCATTATGCCAACTTCTGACGAGAAAAACGCCAACTGTCAATGTGATTCTATAAGTCATTTACTTTATGAACTCCATATTGCTCTATCTTTAATGCAAAGTTATAAACAAAAAAAAACAGCAATAGATAGGCACAAATAATTGATCATATTCATCCACGTTTGTAATGTATGCCATGAAAACCAGTCTATTCGTTTAGCATATTTAACGAATTCCCAAAAGTCTGTTTAAGGAAATATCAACAACGCTAATTATATTATGGTATTAATTCCGAAACATAAAATCGGCTTTTTATATTTGAATGAAATAGGGTGTCAACACTCTATCTTTCTGCACTGAAATGGGTTAATGGACTGCCAGCACAGTAACATTAGACGTCTAACAACCTCTCCCTCCATGCCAGCCCCTCCGACCTTGATCACCGACAAGAAGAAACCGGGTTAAACCTTGGATCGTCCAACAAGTATCTAAGTGGTTCGCAACAGGATGAAAAAAGTAGTGTACTTGATAACTTAGATAATTTTATTATTCAATAATGTATTTTCTAAATAATGTCTAGGGTTACTGATGTGCAGGTAATACAGACTGAGCAATTTGGTTACCCTACTATTAAATGGCAGATTCTACGGTATTGGACTTTAGGTGGTCTCATAAACAGCCGGTTAGTATTCGTTATGGAATCAATAAGAACAATAAAACCAATGTTGCCTCGGGAATGTCTCAATATTGCTTTATATTATTAGCAAAGCCCGACGTATTATTAAATTTATGGCTCAAGTACTTCCGTATATGAGACATAATTTCAATTTATTAAGGATGAATCGTTTTGGTTACAGGGACTGAGATGTTAAGCAGACCATTCATTATTTAAATATTGGCTCAAAGTTGTAAGCTGATGCTCACTTTATGATGATATACAATACACCAGAAGCTTATGTACATATTGCATTAATGATTTGCTTAAGGGAGCACACTACAGTTCAGTAGGTACAGTGTACATATATATGAAACCTGGAATTGTAATTGGCAATTAGTTAGATGGGTTATCAGTTACGTTCAACTTGATCATACCACAAATTTACTGCCATGGTTTAAAATTCACTTTCTCCAAGCAACTTTTATTGAAAACTAACTCTTCGGATTGTCTTTTATGACCTGTTGGATTATACCAAGTTACTTCCATTGAATGATCAAGGGCATAAATCTTGATTTATTGTTACAAAAATAAACCTGCTATAAAGGTTATAATGAATTTGATATAACTATACTCAATAAATTTGATCCACACACTTTTCTTTGGATACGTCACGTGGCTATGAAACAGATTGAACCTTTATAACAATTGTATAGTAAAATGTACTCCTTCTCTAAAGGGATTACAAGTTTTAATGAAAGTATTTTTTGTACTAAAAATTGCTTAAGTTTTAAATCATTTTTCAAGTCATGTTAATCATCTTTTCAAGCTCAAATCAGGTGTGTAGATATGAGACTTGTAGGAATAATGTTTGAAAGATTACATTATATATCGATGATATTTTGAAGATATTGCTGCAAAATATTATAAATAAAATGGTGGTTTACAACATGTGTACACTGAAGATTATTCTGCACTTTTTATACATTTCCAGCTGTTTCAAACTGTAAAATATGCATATCCTGTGGCAGACCTTCTGGGTTTATTGCTCATCAGACCGACTATAATATGAATTTAATATGGTACGACATAAAAAAAAATGAAGAACAGTTATATTTTATCTAAATGTGACATCGATATCATTGTATGAACAACAGTGATATTTGAATTTAACCTAGCATCAAAATGATAGTTTTAATAACAGTGATATTTGAATTTAACCTAGCATCAAAATGATAGTATTAATAACAGTGATATTTGAATTCAACCTAGCATCAAAATGATAAGATTAATAACAGTGTTAATTGAACTTAATATGGTACAAATAACAGTATTTTATAACTGAGCATCAAAATGGTATCTGTAATATTTTCAATTAACCCAACATTAAATTGATGGTATTATTTTAATTTAACCTAGCATCAAAATGATGAAATCAATAACAGTAATATCTTATTTCAACCTAGCATCTATATGATTGTATGAAAGACAGTAGTATATTTTAATTTAACCTAGCACCAAAATGATGAAATCAATAACAGTATTATATTATTTCAACCTAGCATCTATATGATTGTATGAAAGACAGTAGTATATTTTAATTTAACCTAGCACCAAAATGATGAAATCAATAACAGTATTATATTATTTCAACCTAGCATCTATATGATTGTATTATTAATGACAGTGATTTTAATATCAGCCTTGAGACAATTCTTAAATTATTTTAACAGTATGCAAAACTTTACTACCTTGTCTCATGCATATTCGAAATCAATGCAAACATGTATAACATTACTAATGATTGAAGTATGTTATCATGAGTTTATTTACTTCGTGATATGTTTTTCTTTTGGTTTCATTATTTACATAATATGAACTTGCTGCATATTCAAAATAGAATTAGGCATAATTCATGTAATGGAATCCATACTGTTTCATGAGAAAAAGGAAAAGATCGTCTATATAATAAGAGCTCAATATTCAATATCCAATAAATTTTACTATTACGACTTTGGGTTGCCCAGGAGAATTCACAAACCGTGTTTCAATTTAATCTGAGTGTAATTAAATGTTTGTTCCAAGAATACAACATCATTTCCGCAAATTAGTGCTAAATTGTTTGTAAATAATCCAATAAGATAAGGCAGCCTTAATCATTCAAAATCAGTCTTCATTAGGACTTCGCTCTTGGAGGTCATATGGAAGTAGGAAAGTCAATAATAGAAAAATAGAAGAAAATAAGAATTATTTATGCTAAACTGTGTTTTGCTATAAGACATTACTGATAGAACCTTTCGGCATGTTTTAAGGAATATCTGTAAAAGATCCAATAGATTGAAAATACACAAATATGAATTGGAAGAAACATATCATATTCTCTATTTGTAAAAGACACCATACAAAGTTATGTGTTCGGTAATAATTACAGTAACAAACATGTACAAACTTTTTGATGATGTGACAAAACTAATAGCTACACATTTTATAACTCTATTTCATTTAAAGCTATGCATATCCTTTTTTTAATGCTTTAGTAATAATAATATTGCATTCAACATTATCGAATTTTGATAACAAATGGATTGTTTACGAGGATTTTTAAATCATTTCCGACCCCTTAATGAACACATTGAACATTTTAATGGATTTTTACACAATTTTGTGATAATCCTATTCTATTAAGTTGAGTTGGAAAAGAAGCATACTCCTTGATTATGTAACATCCATAAAAAGAAGAATAAATATACTAAGCATTTTGATTATTTCATGTTTTAGTAAATGGAAACGATAACATAGATTAATCGCCTTGATATCTTTTGAATTTGTGGATAAGCTGTGAATAAAGAGGGTCATTTAAATGATAGAAACGAAGATATGAAAACAAATTAATTAGTACTCACCACATCGATCAGTTGGGACAGCCGCAGGCCCAGTTTTACAGTTAAAGGATTTTGCTTGCCAGCTGCGGGTTTGATAAGCTTATTGTAGTTGCTTTTCTTCATAATATCAAAATGAAGGGTCTTTGCCGCCGGTTGAGGAGGGTCTATTTTCTTCCCTGGCCTCGTATTTTCCGTAGACGACGCCACAGATAGAAAAATAGTCAAAATTAAAAAGTAAACATCCTTGATATTTTTCCACAACACCATGATGTCGTTCCAAATACATACACTACTAACTTATAGTAAGCCAATATGGTAATTATTTGGAGATTTCCACCATTTCATAAGTTATATTGACCAACACGTTACCACCGGCACATAATTTACACAATAATTGAATATGTTTGAACACATTTAAGATCGTGCGACAACAAATCTGGTGTCACTTAAAAGTATTAACAACAAGCGGATTAATATCACAGAACTATCACAATTAGATCATAAAAAACGGATTTATTCGAGAGCCTTACCGAATGCAAATATAATCCATAGAAAACGTGTCTGTACGTCTAATGGTGTTAACTTCTTATCGCCTTGGAATAATATAATAACTCCCTTCTTTAAAGCCGACACCGACTAGTCACTCGTGAGGAAATAAATGCAATTTTTCTTAATAATCTTAGAAAGCTCGTCTAGTTAATTTATGCTTCACTAAACACAAAATATGAAAAAAAAGTCAAACGTTGATTAAGTGAAACGAGTATAGATTCCCGTTAAGGTTTAGAGTCCATAGTTTGATTCAAACAACAGACCCGATAGTCCACTGATAACTCAGAAGTATATCGATCCTTACGATGAAATCTTCAGACGAAAACACAGAATTTCTCCATACGGTCGTCACTATAACGAAAATTCACATTTCACAAACGACAACTGAGAAGGTATTTATAGAACTTCACGTGCGCGCAAGCACTTACATCTTTGTAAAGGTACCATAGAGTTTAAAGTAGAAAACATATTTTGTAGTGAAATAATAAAAGTTGGCAGGTAACAGCTGTTAAGTCGGTCTAGTAAGTCGGTAAAAAACTCCCGAAGGAATGTAATAAGTCGATATTAATATGCTAGGATTTGAATGACACCTTTGCGTTCTAATCTCAGTAATCTCCCAGTATAAATCGAACATTAGAATAAATTTGAATTTTTTTTCGTGGACTTTAAATATTCAGTTCATTTATGTCTGATATAGAGAATACTAGTACTGCTATTTCTTTCTATATTTTTTTTTTTATCAAAAAAAAACCTGCATTTCTCACATAAAATTAAAATATTTCTGATTAAGCCTCAAACAATTAACCTAATACTCGTTATTAAATTTGAATTAATTTTTTTAAACGTTCATCTCCGTCTTATAAATTATTTTAAAGCTTATGTCACATAAACTCGCTTTTTTTTCATCTTAATGTTTTTAGCCGTCTACAAAGTTGAAAGTGTATTTTACATTTAAGCAGATTAAAATTAGAATGTGATCCCCAGGGGCTTCTGAATTCGGTTAGACGTTAAAGGGACAGATGTGCCATTTCTTTTGATCGATCGTACCTCAGTCACAAAAACAGGAATTTATTAGCTTAGCGAATCTTTTATAATGGTCAAAACTCGGCAATGAAATTTGATCCTTCAAATTCATGTGTGTCCAGAATTATCCGCTTCTAAAAGTTAAAAAGACGACTCGTCATGTTCTCTATATAGAAAAGACATATATATATAGAAATAGAGAGTAAAATTCCAAGTTTGGAATATTTTTTAAGGAATTGTGGGTTTGTTGTACATTTCTAGTAATTTTGAAGACTATTTACATATATTCAAGACCAAAATCAACCCCCGAAAATGTCAAATTTGTTCCCTTAAAAAGAACTGCATGCATTTGTAATCCAGTGGTAAAATCGTTCTACAATTCCATGGTATTAAATATCCAGTTTTATTGTTTAAACAAGCCAGAACAATAAATAAATAAAAATCTGACCCCAAATAGAAGTTGATTTAATTAGTATATTAAAATAATATACTAACTTCTGGATAGATCAATATATTTACATTCAACTTGTAAGAATAGTGCTCTCTGTAAATAGTTGGGTTTTGTAACATATGGCAAATTAACAACTCCTAAGTCTATTTATATGATAAATAGTACTGCTACATAGAATTTTACTTTAAAGGCTAGTTTACACCAATATTTACCCGAATAAAATAGAATTCAACTATGCCTTTAGAAGGCATTATTCCAATAATGTAGAATGATGGCATTGCAATTGCATGACAACCCCCTCCTCTAACCGCCAAAAATGCTCCGTTAAGTTTATACCTTATCCCTTGTTTGCAATAACTTCTCGTCTAATTACTACTGTAAACAATATTCATTCACTGAATTTAAAAAGGCGTTGAGTATCCTTTCTTCAATATTATCAATGTAACTGGACGTGAAGATCAAAATGGCCATAATTATAATTTTAAAGATATAAGCTTAACTCAATTGTAATATGCCCTAATATATGTAAAACAATTTTTTGTAGTTAAACTGATTTGAGCCATATAAGCTGATTATATTCGAGATAAAATAACTCATAATAAAAATGTATTACTGGGCTTGGTGCTATATTGGACCACCAGTTCAACAATTGATAACGCTTTTATATCGAGATAACATTTTTGGGGTTTTCTGACCCGAATCCAACTGTAAGCGATACTTCAAAAGTCAGGACCACTGTACAATTTGCAAGCCATGTTAAAAAATGTATTTGTACCCTAATCCTGACAAATTGTACAACTAGAGATTCTTAACATTACATTTATATATATTAAAATAGAAGTTTCAATCTAAAAAAGCACCTTCATCACCGCCTGACAAAATTGCCCTTGTTTAAAATCTTGCATGATCTGAAAAGATGATGCATAATTTAAAGAACCTGTGGACATTCAACAAAATAATCTTAAGTGAGTGGTAATTTAATACCATATTGGCAGACATAGGATATACGCTTTTATTGATGTGCACGCGTGTTTGTTTTTAAACACTTCAAGGGTATCGCAAATGAAGCCAAGAAATTTTGCCTTCGGGCTTTCAAGAAGTACTGTAACATGTATGGAATTTGGGTAATGAGCTTGCCAGGCTTTGAAACAGTCGCTCCACTATCGACAAGCGAAGAGAAATGATGAGGTTTCATTCATCAACCTAGCCGCACCTGGAACTAAATTCTCTGTAGAAACAAACTCATACTCAGAACGTCTACCCACGTTATGTTTTATTGTGCATGTAATTGCTAAAACATTGTGAATGACACTGCGTTTATCGGTTTTTACACCGAATTACTACCTTGGCTGGGTTGGGTTGGGCTGGGCTGCACAGGTTTTATAGAGCTTTGACATGATCCTGGACATTTTCACAATATGAAGATGACTGCAATACAGAATAGCGTTTCATGGAGGTTTGTAAATGAAGCGATTTGATTGGATTGTACGGTAGTGAATACAGCCAGGTCTCTGATTTGCTGTATTCGCTGGCGCACAATCCAATCAAATTGATACATTGCGTGATACAACAAGTTTGTAACAGCTTGACATTGTGAAGATTGATCCTGGATAGTTATCGGAAGTAGTTATCAGGTATAACTCGTCTTTTGGGATTTTCATTTAAAAATATTAAAGTTTGGCGTTTAAGAACATACCGTGTTGTTCCTTGGCATGAGACATCCAGCGTAAATATTGTGCTACCTGAGCATCAAACATTACTCATTATTTTCATTAGTGAATGCAATAGTGAAACTGCATTCTTAGAGGTTTTACTAATTCTTTGGACTAACAAATCTGTTTTATTCTAGTTATTTATAAAAATCTAGCGTTGGGCTTGCTTTCAACCGTAAAAGGTCAAACATTATATTTCCCGTTACCATGATAAGCTCAATTCCTGCGGACATAAATTTCAGATTTAAAAGGCTGGATTATATTATCAACCATTTCAATTATAGTTTGGCGAATTGTCCTCGTAATTCCCACAGACGTTTCGATTGTTCCCTAGGACATTAAGATCTGAGTTAGTCGACATTTTGAAAACTTAAGTAATAAATTTCGACACTATTTTATGTCTTCGACAATAACTCGCAGGCATAAATCTCATATATATAATACTGTAGAGTTTGAAGTATTTAATCTTTAAAACTTTCTGTCTGAGTCGAACTTCACGATTGATGTTCAATATTCCAGTTTAAAGCGACTTTTGTGTCTACAGAATGAAAAATCGAGGTCTCAATTTTCATTTTCACCAGGAATTTATTTCGTGTCCAAACCACACCCCATTTGCCATAAACCCGTATTGGTGATACGATGCCAAAAAGCATACGGATAATCTTCGATATTTAGAACAAGACCTAGCCTGTAATTCAAATTGAAAACTTAAGCAATTTTTATTGATTTGTCGAGCTTAAAATGAAATATCACGAACCCGATTAAAAAATAAGGTTGTTCCCTTACATCTCAACATTAAGATAAAGTGCACGAGATTGATTTTACATCAATGAAAGCAAGAATAACACCAATAAATATTGATGATACATTTTGGTTTGTTGTATAATAACCATGGGTAGTTGTTTGGTATCTGATACTCTCAACCATAAATATTTAAATTCGTCTCCCTTACCCGAAATCTAACATCTTACCAGTTTCACCATGTCAGGCTATTATGAACTTCGTACTTATACATAGCTTGCAATACTCACCTTTCTTCAGCATTAAAGTTTGTTTTAATAAAGCAATTTGATTGGATTGTATGCTAGCGAATTCAACCAATCAGAGGCCTTGACAGAAAGTCTGTGAGCACAAAGCCACAATGGCGTACAATCCAATCAAATCGCTGCATTCTGTGGCTTTTGCAGTCAAGGTATAATTAAGAAGTTCGTAATAGCTTGACATTGTGAAGATGACTTCTCACTAAAACTTCACTTTTTGTTATAAACCCAAAAAGTTTAACAACAGCTGTTATATCAGAATACACAAATATAGATTTAACCTTGTTGTTTTCCCATCCATTATCTGTTATATTTTGCTCAATAGTAATGATTTTTAGGAACCAGCTTGATACCATTTGAACCTTTCCTAAACCCAGTATTCTT